TATTTTTTTTTTATAGGAGGCCAGGGCGCACCCCTACAAAAAAAAAAAATAGAGCTCGGGGGGCGAGGGAGGCATTTTTTTTTTCCCCCCCCCGGGGCGCGGGAGGTGGACGCCTCCTCTTCATGGGCCTTCCGCCCCCCCCCCAGGGGGTGTTTTTGCGGAAAACACACCGGTTTCCCCCCCCCCCCCCCCCCCTTTAAATATATGGGGGCCCCCGGAAAAAACTTTCTTTAAATCCCACCTCCCCCAGACTCTTTCCCCTCCCCCCTTTCTACACCTCCCTGGGTTATACTTTTAGGTCGGGGGGTTCCCACCCAAGTGTGCTGCCCCCCCTCTGGGCCCCCACTCCCCCCCCCGCGGCCGCGGCCCCAACTTCCGGCCCGGACTCCACCCTCCGGCCCAGTCATTCCCGTCACCTTTGTTCCAGGTTCGGGCGGGGCGGGGGAGGGGGGGAGGGGTCGCGGGCTGCCCAGGTCAGACTCTGGGGGGCGGGGGGGGGGAGTGGGGGAGGGGCGTGCTTCCGAGGACCGAGAGCCCGGAGCGGCGCACAGGCCCGCGAAGAGTGTTTAGTTAGCGGCGATTCCCCTCCTCTTCCTCCGCCTCTTCCTCCTCCTGCGCCTTCTCGGGCCGCCTGAGCCAATCCTCTAGGAGGAAGCGGCCTCCAGGGCTTGTTGCTTTGTGCTGCCACCGTGGTGAGGAGTGACCAACACCTTAATTTTTCATCTTTCCTTCAAGACAGTGCATTACTATGACTCAGCGTGTGTGGGAGTCTGTTTTGACTCAGCGTGTGTGGGAGTCTGTTGAATTTGCTGCTCCTTTGGGTGTTCCTGATTGTATCTGTGTGTGTTTCCTCTTTGTGTCTGCATTCTGTGTCCGTGTATGTCTGTCCTGGTGTGTGTGTGTGTGTGTGTGTGTGTGTGTGTGTGTGTGTGTGTGTCTTCTCCTCTGTCTATATAGTGGGTCACTGTGAGCCTGGCCGTTAGCCCTGCATCTGAGTGACCAGCTGTGTCTGGGGTGTTCTGTAACCTGTGTGTTTCTGTGTTTGTGGTGTTTGTATATTTCCCTGTGAGTTTGTGTGTCTGTGCACCCTGGAAACAGCAAATGCACAGGCGATCTCCTCAGGGGTATGGAGAGGACAGTGTGTTCTTCCTCCTCCCGCAGGCTGAGCCCTCAATGCCTCTGCTCTTCCAGGTGTCTGGTGACCCCAGGGATTCATCTCAGGCTCCAGGGATGGATGAAGTGAAGAGTCAGTTCATAGAATCCCAGGCTGTGGGAAGGTGGAGAATTTTGGAGGACTCTGATGACAGACAAGAGGTAATAGAGTGTGGAGGGGGGTGTTTGTGGAGGACTCTGTGCCTTTGTGGAAAAACTGAAGGATCCTGGATCCCTGGAAAGGAAGGAATGTATGTATGCATATGGTGACAACTGAGGGGGAAGACTCCTGGGCCCCTAAACCCCCTCCCCCACCCTCCTCCCATGTGTGGATACACATGGAGAGGGCTGGAGGAGTCAGGTGATACTCCTGGCCCCTGAACAACTGTACATGCATGGCTACACAGGAACACAGGGACCAGGAGAGAGAATTAGGCCCAGTTCTCTCCAATGGGTATAGGGAGAAATATACAGGGACAGCATTTAGCACAGGTTCATGCACAGATTGAATGGAAACCACAGAGAGAATTAGGCCCAGTTCTCTCCAATGGGTATAGGGAGAAATATAGAGGGACAGCATTTAGCACAGGTTCATGCACAGATTGAATGGAAACCACAGGATCACCATTGCTGTTCATGTCAGCATTTTTACAATCAGCCCCACCTGAGCAATGCAAATGATAAAGAGGCTTGGAATCAGGGTAGAGACTGGTGTTAATGTAAAAGAGCATGGATGCTGGAATGCTTGCAGGCTTGCACCCTTCCCAATAGACACTGTTTACATGTGGGTCTTCACCTCCTCTATAGTGGGGGAACTGAGGCAGTCAGGTATTTACCCAGGGTCACACTCAGAAGTGGGTTCTTAGTTTTCTGCCAATGACATCTGACACCTTCTTCTGAGGTTCACTTTGAAATTTGACAATGACAGTTTTGGGCAGCTCGGGGAGAAAGTTCACCTGGATGAGGAGAAAATGAACCATCCTGACTGACTAACATTGTCATTTTCTACAATCCCTATTCATCACCTCTGCCACTGCACAACCCCAAAAGAGGCTGGCACCATGTGGTGGCCTTAATGGGGTCCATCAAGAATGCCAGGTTCTGCCCTAGCTGTTTTGACTCAGTGGATAGAGCATCGGCCTACAGACTGAAGGGTCCCAGGTTCGATTCCCACCAGGGGCACATGCCTGGGTTGCGGGCTCGATCCCCAGTAGGGGGTGTGCAGGAGGCAGCCAATCAGAGATTCTCTCTCATTGATGTTTCCATCTCTCTCTCCTTCTCCCTTCCTCTCTTAAATCAATAAAATATATTTTTTTAAAAAGAATGCCAGGTCTCCTCCTGATCCCATGAAGTTGGCTGCAGCACTGTGATGTGCTTTGACCAATGAAAGGTGGTGGAGTGAATCTTGTCACCACTCACAGTCTGGAACCACTGAGTCTGCCCACCATCTCTGTCCATCTCTCATATACCTAGGAGGTATCTACATGGTGGCTTCCTTTTTATACCAGTCCCAGCAGAACAAGGGAGGACATGTGGCATGAACAAGATACTTTCTTTAATATAATAAGCCACTAAATCTTTGTGGCTGTTTGTTATCTATAATAACACCTACCCAAGCCTAATGGTTATACATTGCCAACTCTACTCTCTAGGAGGCAGCAGAGCCTAACGTTAGAAGCCAGAGCTTCTGTTATTAGAGACACATGGGTTTGACTTCCAGCCTTGACTTTTATTAACTGCATTCATGCAATTTACATTGAAATAATAATGCATGCAAAGCATTGAATCCAGGGACTGCACATGTAGTAAACATTCAGTAACTCTTAGCTCCATAGCTTCACAATGTGTACTGGCTACAAACATTCAAACAGTGTAGGAAATGTCAACTTGTTCGACTACGTAACCTTTTAATTTTTGTTTTTAAACAAATAGAATAGGATTATGTATATTTTCTCATAGCCTGCTTTTCCTCTTAATAATATGATTTTTTTGTTAAAAATAAAAAATATGATGGCTGGAGTGGGTCTGTTGGTTGAGCATAGTCCCAGACAGGGAAAGGTTACCAGTTTGATTCCATGCTGAAGGCAACAATTGGTGTTTATCTTGTTACAGAAAAACCCGAGAAGAACCAAGCAATGCTCAGAGAGTTTGGAGTTACACTTTATTCAGTGCGGTGGGCTTAGAGAAAATGAATTCAAATTCTAAGCAGAGCTACAAGCAGAACTTCCCTTTTTATGAAAGAGCCAGCCCTATGTGCGCTTAGTAGTTATCTCGCTGGTGGCCTTGAAAACTACACAGTTCTATCCAATTAAAAAATGCACCTGGCATGGCATTGGGCGTACAAGGTCTCTGGCCTACAAGGTCAGACAGCTAAGTTTATCTTCCTCATTATTCAAGCAGGCTAAAGCAGACTAGAAAGCAAAGTTATTTTTTTAGAATAAGAGACCGTCTAAAGAATAGCAGAGAATTCCAAACAGTAGTTTTACAAAATAGGGGTTAGCCCGCTCATCCCCCCCCCCCCCCCACACACACACCTTATCCCATCTCAGATAATTCCTGTTTTATTTTTGAAGCTCAATGAGCTGGTTTCTTGGCCCCATCCCTTACAATACCAGACTGGTTAGCATAAAAACAGCACTCTTCCTCAAGGAACAGGCACAGCCCCCCTTTCTCCGCTGTGAGGTCTAGTCCTCTTTAATTCTGGAGAGTAACAGCTGCCAGTGAGTCAATCTGATCCTGTACTGCAACAATACTTTGAGCTATTTTTTCTAAACTGTCAGCAGGGTCCTTGGATTGGCTCTGATAGTAGGAGAGGGAAGTTGCCAGTCCCCCTATTCCAGTGCTAACCCCTGTTGAAATGCCGAGTGTTATAAAGTTCATTGAGGTGCATAAGTTGGAATGGAGGTCCTCCGTGTATTTTATAATGGAAGGACAGACTAGAATCAGACCATGCATGCAGGGAAGTGGGGGCAGCCGTGTAGCTTGTAGATGAGAGGGGAAGGCAGAGCCAGCACTCCCTGGCTAAGGCTGGGTTGGTCTGATTTAAGAGGGAGAGGGTGAGGTTAAGCGTTTGATAGAGATAGTGAGGACTTAGGAAGCTCTCAAGAGGCAGAGTGTAGACCTGAGAGTGGTCGAGATTGAGAGAATTCAGTAACAGTAAAAGAATTAGCCTTAGCTTTATCTTGTTCCTTTGCTGTGTAGGAAGCAGTAACTTTTATGGTGCTTCTGTGTTCCAGCAAGGGCAGAAGAGTTCTCCTCCTGGGACTAGCCTCAGGTTCTGGTGGCACTCATAAAAAGACAATGAAAATTACTAGAAAGATAAAAACAATGATTATTCAGAAATACCAGAGCATTTTGCCTTTAAGAGAAGATAAGAAAGAAAAATTAGTGTAAGGAAGAATTCAGCAGGGTGTTATCTGAATTCTTTGGAGCAGGTTGATCGGCCAGGTCCGTTGTCTTCTTAAGGGTGATCCGCAGCGGGTGTTTCTGGTCAGAGGTCACCTTCCACTCAGGCTGGGTGTCGCTCGGCTGGTTGGCTGCCTTCACCCGGGAGTGGTGGATCCAGGTGTTCAGTCCTGCAACCTTGAGAGCTGTGGGGGTGGTTAGTATGACTGGATAGGGTCCCTTTCAAATTGGCTTAAGGGACTCTGTTTTCCAGTCTTTTACCCAAACCTGATCTCCAGGTTTATAAGGATGTACAGCTGTTCCTAGAGAGATGTAACCCACCTGTGGACCTCAAAAACAGTTTTTCCAAGTCCTTGTAGTTGCTTCTGGATTTTTAAGTTTCCTATTTCCCCCAAATCTCTCTCTGGCCGAATTAAGGGAGGGGGTCTACCATATAGAATTTCAAAGGGAGAGAAGCCTACCCTGGCCCTCGGGGCACAGCATACCCACAGGAGTATAAAAGGCAAGATATCTGTCCAGGGTAGGGTTGTCTCTTGGCATAGCTTAGCCATAGCCTGCTTTAGAGTATGGTTCATGCGCTCTACTTTCCCTGAACTCTGAGGCCTGTAAGCTGTATGTAGGTTCTATCTAATTCCTAAAGTCTTAGTTACCTGTTGTACTATTTCTGCTACAAAGGCTGGGCCATTATCAGACCCTATGGTCAGAGGCATTCCATACTGCGGAATTATGTCCTTTAGCAATGCCTTAGTGACTTCTCTCGCCTTTTCTGTGCGAGTGGGATATGCCTTGACCCAGCCTGAAAAGGTGCAAAGAAAGACTAGTAGGTATTTATTTCCTCTGCTAGGCCCTACTTCTGTAAAGTCTACTTCTAAGTCCTCAAAGGGAGTTTGCCCGCAGCGCTGAACTCCTATCGGTCCCACAGAACCCTGTTTGGCATTGTTCTGGGCACAGAGGAGGCAACGCTGAGAAACTGAGGCACAGAAGGAGGGAAGACGGGCAATTAGGTAGTATCTGCCTAACAAAGCTTCTAGAGCAGTCTTTCCTAAATGAGTAAGTTCATGCTGCTGGAGGACTAACTTATGGGCTAACTGTTCTGGGACATAGACCCTATGATCTGGGAGTATCCGCCAACCTTCTTTTGTTCTTTTGTCCCCTTCTTGCTGGGCCCATTCCTCCTCCTGAGGAGTGTATTTTGGAGGTTCAGGTAATTCGGGGGCCAACATGATCCGTGCCGGTGCTGCTTGTTCTTTGGCAGCCTGCTTTGCTGCTGCGTCTGCACGCTGGTTTCCTTCTGACACTGAGTCTTTCCCTTTCCAGTGACCTTTGCAATGAATGACGGCTATTTCTTTAGGCTCCCAAACTGCTTCTAGTAACTTTAAAATCTCATTTTGATTTTTTATTCCTTTTCCTCCCGCTATCAGGAGCCCCCTTTCCTTGTATATAGCCCCATGAATATAGCGAAGGCATAGCGTGAATCAGTGTAGATGTTGGCACGCTTATCCTTACTGAGTTCTAAGGCTCTGGCGAGGGCCCAAAGTTCTGCCCTCTGCACTGACCATCCTTCAGGCAGGGCCTGTGCCTCAGTTGTCTCAAAGTTTGATACCACTGCATATCCGGCTCGTCTTTTTTCTTCATCTAAGAAGCTACTGCCATCTGTGAACAATACTAAGTCTGGATTCTTTAGGGGCTTATCTGTTAGATCTGGCCAGCTAGAGTAAACCTCCTCTAGGACTTCTAGGCAATCATGCTCAGGGGCC